AAAGCTCCATCTCTGAAAACTAGCTTTCACGTTACCAGATGTCATCAAGCAGCTTCCAAAGGAAGAAAGCAACTAATACGCCTACCTAGTTATGATGCCAATAGACCACAATAATTACCAGCATGGTCTGATAGCACAAAAGGTGCAAGAGTGCCTTGTAAAGGTACAGATACTTGAGCAATAACCAAAATCTCTCTAATTGAACTTAACGCCCAATCAAAAGGAGGGAAATCATGATTAGCCAACTACCCAAGGACAGTGAAGTCATGGATCTTGGAGGAGAAGCTACAACCACCACTTTATTAAGCAGCATAATCCCTAACTACATTCCAAATATTTGTCTTTGTACACACAAATAAGTAGTTACCCTTCATAAAGGAAACTTCTCTTTGCAACAGTTAGAGATCATTATAGAAAACAACAGTTAGAGACCATTATAGAAAACCACAACTAATCAAAATGCAGAATTGCAGAGCCCAGTACCAATGGATACATCTACAAAACAATCCATCGAACCTAAAGATCAGGGAACATTGCAGAAGAGGGGGTGGAAAAAATTGTTAGAGCCAGAGGATCTAGGAGTCTGCTGTGAGGCTGTGTCTCCTGTGGGGCGTTTACCCAACCACCCCCACAGTTCCCCAGAGTTTTCTTGAGTGCGAGCAGCAGGAAATATTAGATAGAAGGATTTATTGTGGAGAATATCGCGGAGATAAACAGATAGAAAATAAAGGATAGCCTCGAGAGGGTCTGGAACCTATTCCAACAGGCCCTGACTGTCTCTGCCCCAGGGTTTTTATAGAGACGCCAAGGGGTGGAGCAAAAGACCTCCTCCCCCAGCACAGCCAAGTGCAGACCATCCCAGACACCTGCACTCAGGCTCATGGTCCTAATCATCCTCTATGCGGACCCGCTGGGTAAAGCCACAAGGAACCCAAGAACGGGCTCCCACAGTCTCCTAGTAATGTCAGAAGGTATACCCAATAAAGTCTCACAAGCAAGACCGCCCAATCTTAAGGACAATAGATATGCCAAAGTGGAGAGATCAAAAATTAAAAGGCCTCAACTCTACACAAAGAATTACAAGCAACTATGAAATGGTGAGAGTGGGAAAAACAGTCTTCCCCAGGGAAGAATATATCAACTAGTTATCCAATAAAAAATGGTCAGCAATGAAAACATACATACAAATAGCATTATATAGACTGAGTTGTATTTATGTATTTCAGATTATATATGTACATAAATATAAATACCTACATGTAACAATAATTAGTCAAAAAAGAGGGCATGGATTTGAAAGAAATCAAGAAGGAATACATAGGAGGGTTTGGAGGAAAGAAAGGGAAGGGGAAAATAATATAAATATATTATAATCTCAAAAACAAAAGAATTTTTTTTAAAAAGCAGAAACTCTATAGTACCTTTTAAATTTTAATTATTAATTTGGCTTTTAGAAATAGCCTATACTTCATAGCTTAGGTTGGCCTCAAACTGGTTCTCATGCCTCAGCCAACCCAGTTCTGATTATAGGCATATATTATCACACACTACTTTAAAACAGATTATCTTGAAATAAATTGTATGAAAAGATTAATACCTTCAGAGAGAGAGGAAACAAGAACCACAAAATAAAATGTAATGTTACAAGAGTAAATATAAATAATTTTCAATAAAATGTGGTATATTAGAAATTAATAACAAGTTAAAATGAAACAGATGAAAGTCAGTCAAGAAAGTGTGTCAGAACAAAACAAGAAAACAAAGGAAAGACAGTCATTAATAAAAACCCAGAAGATTTCCAAAAACCAAGGACCCAGATGTTGAGAGGAGAAAGGACCACCCAGGTTCCAGCACAATGTGTCAAAATCTACCTACTTCACTATAAGGCTTCAGGAAATTGGATTTTATTCATTCTGCAAGTTTTCAGAGATAAAAACATCTCCTAGGCCCCATACAGAGGCTCAGATGTCAGAAAAGTGTTTTTCTTGTACATATCAAGCTATATTTTAAAGATTTCTTTAACTTTTAATTATGTGTATGTGAGGGAAGAGATATACTCTACAGTCTTGGTGCCCATGGAGGCAGAGGTACTTGATCCCTTTGGTGACAGGCTTAAGGTTAGTTAACAGCACTTAATGTAGTTGTTGAGACTTGAACTTGGGTCTTACAAAAGAAATATGAGCTCTTAACTACTGAGCCATCTTTCCAGACTGCTTTAATCTTTTTTTTTTTTTTTTTTTTTAGAGTATATCAGTCTCACAAACTAGAAAAAATACATGCTGTGGATATCGTTCTGTATAAATAAAACACTGACTGGCCAGTGGACAGGCAGAAAGTATAGGCGGGACAAGGAGAGAGAAGAATTCTGGGAAGTGGAAGGCTGAGGGAAACACTGCCAGCCGCCACCATGACAAGCAGCATGTGAAGATGCTGGTAAGCCACAAGCCACGTGGCAAGGTATAGATTTATAGAAATGGATTAATTTAAGATATAAGAACAGTTAGCAAGAAGCCTGCCACGGCCATACAGTTTGTAAGCCATATAAGTCTCTGTGTTTACTTGGTTGGGTCTGAGTGGCTGTGGGACTGGCAGGTAACAGAGATTTGTCCTGACTGTGGACCAGGCAGGAAAACTCTAGCTACAAATACATCATTAAGTTTATACAAAGTGTATGAGTTTCACAGGAAAGGAAGGTAGTCTTTGTTTACATTGCTGTTAGCAGCATTTCTACAAGACAGTATAAACAATGGATATTGCTCTACCACATTAAAATGCATATAGTAGGCCGTGTATTTTAAATAAAAGTTTTGTAGACCAGAGACAGGAGTTATGCTAATATACCAGAAGAAGGCTGCAGACATACATTGTTGGTAAAGTACTAAGGCCTGGGTTCTACCATCAGTACTGTAAAAACAAAGAAAATACATACCAAAATATTAGTAGCATGAAGAATAGGAAGTGTGTGTGTGGGGAGAGAGAGAGAGAGAAATCATATATCGTGTACCCAAATGAAGCATGTTATAATAATGCTACACACAAAAAATTCAAGACATAGCAAAGTAGTAAGAATAAGCTATTTTTAAATCCATGAAAGTATATAAAAATAATAAATCGTAAGAGACAAATCTCCCTTTGAGGGATGGTCCATGCAAAAAGAGGGAGGCTAAGTTCTGTTCCATTTATTTCAGTAACAAACTCACTGAATTATCTGGCTCTTTTCCCCCATTACATACATTCTTTATAAACTGTAGTAAGCTTTGAACAATAGACAAGTTTAATGAAAGGAAAAGCTTTCTCTGAAAACGTAAAACAAAAGAAAGATGACAGGAAGAGAGGAAGAACAAGGGCAGAGGGTCAGAAACAGACTGCAGACCTGCCACCATCTCAAGAGGGTAGGTATGTTCTGGGACTAGGAACCTCTGGCACATTCTATACTCATTCGAAGTGCCATTTTTCCATGGGTAGGATCAAAACTGAACCAGAGAGCTCACCTGTTCAGCAAGTGCTTAATATTAACAGATTGGTGTTAAATCTTTAAAGATAGAAATGCAGAACAGTGCCTCAATTGGTCTTTACTTACTCTTTGGAGCAAGCCCTATTTCTCTGAAGAGTGTTAAATTGTGAAGTTGGTAATGGTGTCAGTAATCCCAGTGGCTTTTATGGCACTATTGGTAGAAGTTCCTGTGGTGATATACTGTGTCCTCCAATATACTGTGCATCCTAATAAACTTATCTGGGGTCAGAGAACAGAACAGCCACTAGATAGACATAGAGGCCAGAAAATGGTGGCGCACATGCCTTTAATCCTATCACTTGGGAGGCAGAGATCCACCTGGATCTCTGTGAGTTCAAAGCCACACTGGAAACAGCCAGGCATGGTGACTCACGCCTTTAATCCCAGGCAGAAAGCAGAAAGGTATATAAGGTGTGAAAACCAGGAACTAGAGCTGGTTAAGCTTTTAGGCTTTTGAGCAGCAGTTCAGCTGAGAGCAATTTGGATGAGGACACAGAGGCTTCCAGTTCAAGGATACAGGATCAGCTGAGAAGTTGGCCAGGTGAGGTCAGTTGTGGTTTGTGTTCTGTCTCTCTGATTTTCCAGTATTCACCCCAATACCTGGCTCCCAGGTTTGATTTTATTAGTAAGACCTTTTAATATTCGTTCTACAAGTTCCTTTTTAGTAGTAGTGAAAAAAAGAAAGAGAGGGGAAGGGAGGAAGGGAGAGACAGAGGGAGGGAGGGATAGATGGATGGATGGAGGAATGAATAAATTACAAAGAAACGTAAACATAACTAGTATATTGAAATATGCAAGTTCTTGCCATTATTTGGAAAAAGTGACATGCCAGTGAGCTCACAATCCACATACAGAACTGTTAACTGGCATGAACAGCAATACTTTTGTCAGTATCTTTCCAAAACAAGCCAAATTCCCTGAGCATGAATAAGACCTGTACTAAGCATCTGGTGATTAATTCTTTTGCAGTTCTTTAAATGGGATGAGTCAGATCTCCAGACCTTTAAGATAATTTCATTTTCATTAAATAGTATTTAACAGCCAACCAGTGCCACAGCAATTCCTGAAACACCACAAAGGCAAAATCCTTGCCTATAAAGTATATTATGCTTCTCAATATTAAATACAACTCTCAACCTATGTAAAAAAAAATACCATTGGTGACATTTCCATATAAAAGATATTAGAAGTTCTAGTAAGCAGTGGGAAGAAAAGGGGAGAAAACAGGTAGACAGGTCAGGAAAGTCACCTCCCTTTATGAGCTAGGAGAAGCTCTTAGAAGAGGAACATGGTCTACAGTCCAGCAAGGAAGGGACCTGGCACACCTGGGAAATATTTAAGAAACACTTGCTGAGCTAACCTAGAAGGGAACTATGCCTATCTCCATCCTCCAGGAGGCAAGAAAGTAAATTGCTAGTCCTCTTTGAAGTAAGCTCTGTTAGACAACATAATGAGCACCAGCGCTCTGGAAGCAACAGGTCCTTACCTGCTGCTGGACTGGCACTTGCTGTACCACCTGTGTAGGCACTGCTGCTTGGCTAGCCACAGACGTCTGTAGAGTCACTGTCGACCCCGTGTCTGAACCCGTCTCTGAAGTCTGCATGATGGTCTCTGGAACAGAGGAAAACAGTTTACACTGCTGGCCTTGCAGCATAAGCTTCATTGCTTGTGTTCCTCATATCAAAAACCGAGACTTCCGAACATCACACCACGGACTCCAATGCACTGTCACAGTAACTCACACATGCTATTAGTCATTCTGATCAGTGTTTAACTAAATAAAGAATAATAATATATTAATAAAATTAATAATGTTTACTTTTGTAAAAATCCTTATTAGTACTTCCTGATCTTCAATGAAAGAGGCAGAACTTCACTGAAAGTTATTGTCCTTGGACCCAACTGTTATAAAGTATTTCAATCCTTTAATGAACTATGATCTAAAATAGTCAAGATATAAATCTCAGAACACAATCTAAAATAGATGACAATGTAATGTACCATACTTTCTAGACACTTTTCAAGGCTATTAGGATGACGATAAAGCAGCAGAATATAGAATAAACCATTTCTAAATTTAAAAGTTATTATTCAAACATTATATATACTGATATACTCTAAATTCAGACACAGGATCATGTTTTCTAATTTTCTTAGGCTTCTGCAGTGATATCTTCTTTTGCTACTTACAAATTCAATAAAAAATAAATGTGAATTTTCTGGTATGTGGCTAAAGGTAGGAGACACCATTTGATAGCCTATGAAAAGTAATACACTGCAGTTTAAACTAGTAGATAGCACAGCTGGCATTCACGTTCCTTAAGAAAATTAAATTCTCAAGCATTCAGTTCTTTGGAGGAGAAAATTAATTCTACTCAACATCTTTGTCACAGTGTGACCAATCTAATTCTTTTCCACAACTATCATCTTGTTCAGGTTTAGAAATGGACCTTGAAAAACAACAAATATGTTCTTATTTTAGAAAGCAAAATCTATAGCCCAGAGAGTCTAACAACTTGGCAAGAGAAAAGCTGGGCTGTGCTTTTCATTTTGACCAGCGTGATTTTCTCTACAGTTTTATAGTGGCATTTCTGTAGGTGATCTGTGAATTTTCTTATTGCTTTCTTGGTCAAAGTCCTAAAGCTACACAAATCTCATCAGATACAAAAGTCTAGAAGTAACAACTGCCACCGGTTGTTCAAGAGATGTAAAGGGCTCTTCTGAGTGTTTTTCATAAATATATTTATTCATGAATAGATTAATCCATGAAACAACCTGGCTTTCACTTTTAATTGTGGGACCTTGGTTATACTGAAGAAGGAAGAGAGGGGTGAAAGGTAGACTTCAGCTAAGGCATCATTTACATAGATAGGCTAACATAGATAGGATTTTCTGGATATGTGGGAGACCAACTTGTAGAAAACTGTTGTGATTTTTCAAAAGAAGCTGAAAAATCAAGATTTTATGTGAAATATTACAAATTGTGGCTCATTTAAATGTAACAATCGTGTTAAATTGGGACTAGCATTATAACCATGGAGATGCCTAAGACTAAATGAGAATGATATCATTTACTATACAAAATTCTTGTTTGATTAGGGTGATGGAAGACACTAATGCTCCAAATTTTGGAAGCCAAAGCTAGGCTACAGTGCAATGAAAGAGTGCTTAATTATCCCTAGGTTAGATTCCAGCACTGGCCATCCCCTTCAAAATTACCTTTTTTCTTAAAAGAGAAGAATACATAAATTAGGAGCCACATCTCTTCCTTTTATTTTTTTCCTTCTATGACAAATAGGGAGAAAAACAGCAATCCAAAAATGAAAGGAAAAACCTTTCAGGTCCTTTGATTTATTAAGTATACACAGAGTATTGATTACATTTTGTGCTATAACAAAGGAGCTAAATGTGTATGGAAGGCTTGTGGAAGGAACAAGGAATGGACCATACTGGATAGCATCTACTGTGTGGGTTTTCAGTCTCACAGCGCCAGGGTAACCAGTAGACCTTTGTTAGATGTACAGATACAGAAGTCATGTGTAGCCAAGGAGTGCTCCTCCTTACTCCACTCCATCCAATAGAGTGTGGGTTCCCAAAGTACAGTCTCCTGCACTAACACTCCCTCTGTTTAGCACAGAGCGAGCTGGAAGCTTTGCCAAGACTAGCTATGTGCCAATATTTTGCATTAACAAATAAAACTATAATGTTCTTCATTTTATAGGTGAGTAGTTTGAGGTTTGGAGATGTCAAATCACTCACCACTTACACACTACCACACATATAGGAAACAGAAAAGAATGGTTTGATGTCAGAATAAAGTTCATGCTCTCAACTTCGCAGGATACATTGAAAGCTCTGAGTTTAATAATACACAGTGCACAGGTAAATATAATGAAAATAACATAAAGTGGTAAAATTTTAGAATGAGGAAACCATAAAGGAAGCAAAATATGTCAACTATTCAATAAGAGTAAACTAAACAAGTGTGGAGAAATGATTGTTTTAAAATTCAAAGCTAGAGAGTAGGAGAGAAGTTTCTAATTGGCCTCCAGCTCTGTCTATACTACATCAAAACTGGCATAAGGAGCCCAATCTAGTGTACCCAAGTATCAATCAAACCCTAGAGTACTTTCTGCTAATTCTAATCTCTGTTCATTTGACTAGCTTTTTAAAAAATTTATGAGATTTATGTGTATGAATGCTTTGTATGTATATCTATATATGCACCAAATATATACCTGGTTCTCAAAGAGGTCCAAAGAGGATTTCGGATCCCCTGGAACTGAAGTTATGGATGGTTGTGGGTGCTGGGAACATCCTCTACAAGAACAGCCAGCGCTCTCAAACCCTGAGCATTCTCTCTAAGCTTCTGACGAAACGGCTTCATTCTTCTCTAATTTCACTACCTCCATTAGTCCTGGAGAAGACTCTCTCTCTAACAGACTCATGACTTCCACAACCAGGCTTGAACGGCTCTAACTACAATTTGGTCTATCATTTACTAAGTTTTTTCCTGACGCTAGAAACCAGTCTAACTGCACTAACAATTAATTGCTAATTTAATTCTCAGAGGAAGTCCATGATGCAGATGTTATCCTTATCTAACAAGTGTGGAAACTGAAACATAGATGAAGTTTAAAAATTGTTAAAAGCATGCAGCCAGAAAGAAGAAGAATCTGAATTCATTCTACGTCTGTCTGGCTTGAAAATCCATGCTTATAGCCACTGGGTGTACTGTGATGCAGACTCATGACAGTATAGTTTCCAAACAAAAAGCTGAACACTGGGAGTCAGAACAGTAATTTGAGGTTCATAATGTTTTCTTAATGTACATTTCCAGCAATCATGGAGACAGATCCATTCCACCACTGTTCCTAAAGATATGGAAGTATTTTCTCCACTGAAGCAATAATTCCCAACTAATAAATATTTTTCCAGAACCACTTTATGTTCACTAATTCTGAAGACCTAATCTTAACGCAGAACAACGACAACATAAAGCATATTGAGAGAGTATAATCCTCTAATCAAAGTTTGTTAAATAGATTATTTTAACCTACTGACATACTAAAAGTATTCTGGGGAATGCCCAACATTTGTGCAAATTGAAGTTCGTCCCAGGAGGGCAGTGTCCAGAGCCTGCCACCTTAGGGAGCTGAATAAAAGTTGGGTGCTTATAATGTATTCTCATTGACCAGCAGAAGTTTCTGAGGCTTTGTTTATGTCTAGGGGTAATTTGGTTAGTTTTGTCCCTTCAGTGCCTGTTAAGTGATATTTGTTTATCAATCACAAGTGTAGTCACATTAATCTATTTTGATAAGCTAAATAACCCCCTGCAGTTTGCCTCCGATGTGGCCCACATGTAAATGAATTGTATATTCTTACAAGGAGAGACTGCACAATTTCCGTCTAGTCATCCTTGCCTAATGTGGCTGTCAGGTGTGTCATGAGCAACAGATGCTTGTTTGACAAAGGACCTTTTTATTCTGGCTAATTAAGCAGTTGGACACACCCGCCTGCTAAGGGTTCTGCTTTGTACAGCCAGCTCTGGATGAGTCATGAGAATCCAAGGCTAAATAGGCCACATTTTGAAAGAAGGCTAATTAGGCCCTAGGAGGAGGAGAAGAATATTGCAAAACCCAGCTGCTGAATGCAACAAATTAGCATTTCTTCAACCTGATGGGCAAACCTAGGCAAATCAAGTGTGTTTGGAACAAACATGCCTTCTTGCAAGTTGCAAAGCATTTAAATGTTCTATAGGGGACTTCCTGAAAACTATTTAACACACTCAAATTCTCAGTTGGATTCCTTTTATCACATACAATGTACATGCCAAATTAATTGGTTTACTAATCTGACCTAGTCAATCACTTATGAAACAGAACTTTATAAGTTTATAACTGGCTGGGTCCACCTGATGCTTGCTGGGGTCTTCCATCCCGAAATACTTCCTTTCCCACAAAGAAGCCTGAGATGTCTCATTCTCATTCCATTAAACCGAGTTTTTGTTTTCTGAGTGAAGAATGTGATAAAAATCTACAGTTTCTCAAATTGCTTCTTCTTTTACCTTATCATAGAAAGACCAAGATGCTAATTCCACTTCCTGCTTAAACCAAATTAACCAAAATTATTATGATAGTTACTTTATGATCAAAATAAACTATATCTAAATATGCTATACTCAATATAAATGATAAGAATTTTAGAAGCCTGATTCAACATAAGATCATAGAAATGCTATTTCATAATTTTAAATTATTATTTTTAAACTAGAGAACAAGTAATTTGACATTAGTATATTTTTACATGAAGAAAGAACCGAAACTATTATAAAGGTTCTGAAACATAAAAATTTCATTACTAATACTCAACTTCAGTTAAACCTCCATTAACTCCTCCATTAACTAAAATTATGGGTATAATGGGACTGGAGAAATTGCTCAATGGTTAAGATATTTAGTGCTCTTTCAGAGGACCAGACTTTGGTTCCCAGCACCCACATTGTTCAGTTCACAATTCCCTTTAACTCCAGCTCCAAGGTATCCATCAACACCTTTTTCTGCCCCACCCCCACTGCACACAGAGAGGGAGGGATGGAGAGATGCACAGGC